ACCTCAATATACAACTTTTTTCTATTCTGGGGACAGATTATCCCAAACATGAACTTTTTGACTTTATTGACGCAGGAGTCACTTTTGAGTATGTTAGCAGATCAAGCTATTTTCCTGACAGCCTCTGTGTGTCTGGTCTCCTTTGAAATGACTACACCTTGCTACAGGTTCTTAATGAATGAGGTGAATGACAGCATCGAAATATGTTAATCTTATATTTGCAAGAGTCATGGCTTTTATCTTTGAAGTTTTAACATCCATACCCATTTGGTATTGCTGACTCTGTGTTTATTTCTGAGTCCCAAGCACCTCTCCCACCCCAACACACATATTAACACACAAATGGGGTGCAATCCCATTCCACACACACACACACACACACACACACACACACACACACACACTAGAAGTGAGTTGGGGTGGGGGGAATTGTAGGAATGACTTTTACAATAAAGACATACTATAGACAAATGACTTTTACCTAACCTTGCAATGCAGTGTAAACAAGCTCACTGAGCCATGTGCTCCCTCCTCTTATGACCTGGACATATGATTTTAATCCCTCAGGGCCCTCCATCCAACATAGTGTATAAATGTGTGTATGCATGTTTTACATGTCAAAACATCAAAGCCTGCAAACAGCACTTGTATCATTGAAAGCAATGAGAGAAATTTGTAACATCTCTTTATGATTGTGTGTGTGTGTATGTGTGTGTGTGTGTGTGTGCGTGTGTGTGTATTATTCTAGGTCTAGGATCAAAGAGCAAAATTCTTCCTCATTTCACACTGGACATCCTGTTTCAATAAAAGAATGAACAGAGACTTTGCTAGGAGCACAGTTCTGAGAGAAATCTGAAGGAGCAGGCTATTTTTTTTTTATCCTATAGCCATAGTTTGACTTAGAAATACTGCAGGGGATGTACTAGTTATGAATCTTGTTGCCATGATCAAATATCTGACAAAAACAGCTTAAGGGAGGAAGAATTTATTTTGGCTCACAGTGTGAGGAGATAGAGTTCATCATGGCAGAAAGGGATACTGGTGGGAGCTTGAGGCGGCTGGTCGAATTGCAGCCCCAGTCAGGAAGTAGGAAGATGAGTGCTGGTGCTCATCTCACTTTCTTGTTTTCCCCTTAAATCTATCTATCTATCTATCTATCTATCTATCTATCTATCTATCTATCATCTATCTATCTTCTATCTATCTATCTATCTATCATCTATCTATCATCATCTATCAATCTATCTATCATCTATCTATCTATCATCTATCTTCTATCTATCTATCTATCTATCTCCACCATCTATGAGCTATATGTATCTGTCAATGCGCCTATCTATGTATTTATCTGTCCCATAACTACATATGTATGTGTTTACGTGTGTTGAGCACATGTCCCAGCACACATGCGGCGCTCCGAAGACCGCCTGCAGGGCCCCTCGTCTCGTCCCACCAAGTGGGTCCCTGGGATTCGAACTCAGCCCTTGAGGCCTGGGCGCCGCGCCCTCTCCCCGGCCCTGGGTGCTGCCGGAAGTGCCGTCCTTTCCCGGTTTCCCGTGGTCACGTGCCGCCTGTGTCGCTTCTCGGTGCCGTTCGGGGTCCAGCCCGCACCCCCGCACCCCCCTCCGCATCTGTCCCTGGTCCGGAAACCCCGTCATTATGGAAATCCAGCTCCGGGAGCGTCCCCCTGAAGAAGGCATGACGTCTGCTGTCACGGACGGCGGGCCCGGGAACACATGACGTCTGCCGTGTCGGAGGGCGGGTCCGGGCGCGTCCTGGCGGGTCCCGGCTCTATGTACCTTTTCTTTCTTTCTATCTATCTATCTATCCATCCATTAATCCATCCATCCATCCATCATCTATCTATCTATCTATCTATCTATCATCTATCTAATCTATCATCTATCTATCTATCATCTATCTATCCATCTATCAATATCTATCTAATCTATCTATCTCTCATCTATCTATTTATCATCTGTCTATCTAATCTATCTATCTATCTACCTATCTATCATGTATATCAATCAATCTCATCTATCTATCTATCTATCATCTATCTATCATCTATCTATCTATCTATCTATCTATCTATCTATCTATCTATCTATCTATCTATCATCTATTTGCCTGTACATATGTAAGCACACCTATGTCATGCAATACCCAGAAGAGGGCATCAGATCTCCTGGAACTGGAGTTACAGGTGGTTGTTAGCTACCATATGGGTGTTGGAAACTGAATCAATGTGCTCTTAACCACTGAGCCATCTCTTCAGCCCCATCCTTTTCTCATTTTCATTCAGTCTAAGACCTCAACCCTCAAATGTGGGATGGTGGCATCCACATTTAGGGTGGGTCTTCTCTGCTTGGTTAATCCTTTCTGAAAACAGAGATATGCCCAGAGGTGTGTCTCCTAGGTGCTTCCAAGTTCAGTCAAGTTGCCAATGAAGGTTATCCATCACAAATAGGAACTCAATACCTAATCTTTGAGACAATCATGGAGATCAAATTGTTGGACCTAAATGAGGTAGGAGCTCTAGGAAGAGACAGTGCATTGTACTATTGGAGTCTAACTTTTACACCAAATTCTAATATCAGGTCAGGTTACGGGTTTTTCTGACCAGGTCTCTGTCTAGGGTCCTTCAGGAATTTTTAAGGACCCCATTTCTACTACTAAACAAGAAATCCTGGATATTCCAGTGGGTGATAGTGGGCTGGGAAAGGCCCCTCTGAGTCATGCTATAACACTTGCCAATATTGTGTTCAATGCCTGTTCCCTATGGGCTACCCCTTTTTGTAGGCCTGGGCTACCCTGGGCCTCAGCTCAGGGAGATCTGAAGTTTCTACAGGCTTTGATTTGGAGGTCTTAGAGGCTGTGCTCTGGGTGGTAGGTCTTAGATCATCTCTGAATGTCCCTGCAAGCTAGGTTCCTTTAGTGACGCTTACAGAAAACAGAATAAATCGGTTCTTGTTCCAGATAACCAGAGTCCTCCCAAAATACCCTCTGACTAGTGTGGTTGGTGAGGCTGAGAGAAAGCAACCACAGGCTGTTGTTTAACGATTTCCTCTAGACTGAAACATTCCCTCCTCACAGAGCAGGGAGGCTCACCAGAGTTATGAAATGCAAAACAAATTTGCAGGATTCATCAGGCCCCTCCCTAAAGTTATATAAGCAGTAAACAATTGGTGGGAGAGAGCAGACTTTTCAGTGGAACTGCCTGGGAGTTGTGCAGAGAGCACCAGGCATGCAGCTCTCAAGAGCTGCTACTCCCTGGGGTGGGCTGTTTAGTGATGTGGTTGCCTGGGTTACTGATGCTCCTGTAAATGACCCTAATAAGCTCACTGGTGTACCAAGTTGAGTGTGATGGCTAATCTTGATTGTCAAATTGACACACTTGAGAAGAGGAAACCTCAACTAGAGGATTTCCTCTATCAGATTGGCTTGTGGCATGTCTATGAGGGATTTTATTGATTGTTAATTAATGTTGTAGAGTCCAGCTGGTTTCTTCTTTAAGCTCCTGCCCTGGCTTCCCTTGATGATAGACTAGCCCAAGCTCCTCCGTTTTGTGTAAGACATCTTGGTGAGCCATCCCAGACCCTAACCTGGCCTGGGGCCAGAAGTTCCAGGAAGAGCTGAGGAACACACCCATATAATCCTGGTGTTAGAGTAGCAAATAGCCCCATAAGTTTAACTGATCAAGACTATAAAATCTCTAGTCTGTTGAAAGACCCACCTTTCCAGTTTCACCAGGTCAATCATCTGGTCATAGGACCTCCCTTAGGAAGGCAGGTTCACCTTAAATTATGCTAAATAGATGGGCAGAATACCTAGTGCTTTAATGAGAGTGAATTCCTGCCTGGAATCCTGCCTCCTAGAGCAGAACTCCTTGTCCCAGCCAGATGAGTCTCTGTAAGTCTGCCCAAGTGAAATCTCTCCTTTTTTCCTTCATTTTTTTTTTCTAAATATGCTTTAAGGCTTTACTTTTTCTCCCAGTCATGTGGTTGCCAGTCAGCCACGTATCTGACCTCTACACAGGTTCTAAACCTGCATGGCTTCATAGCTGTCTTTCTCTCCTCCATTCTCCTCAAGGCAGCTGCCAAGATTACCAGCTCGCCTGCTTTGAGGATTTTTCTTTAAAATTCTAATAAAGTTGTAAAAGCTCCCATCCCCTCACAGTTAGGGCAGCATTTTCAAAATTGGCTCAGAGAGTGCTGTCCTGGCCAGCTAAATAGATTAGGCTGATTCAGAACTTTTTGAGTCTGAGTGGTCTTTGCCCAGTGATCTTGAACTCTATGACAAGCCTGTAAGAAGATCTAAGCCCTTTACTCTTACAAGTTGCTCTTGGCCATGGTGTTTATCACAGCAACAGAAAAGCAAACCAGGACACTGACTACGGATGGAATAATTTCTTTGATCTATCACGGCCCCTCTCTACCTGGGGTGAACAGAAATAGGTTCTCCAGGAAAAGTAAGGCAATACAGGCTCTGCTCTCCATCCGTGGAAGTATGGTTGGAGACCAGCGGCACGGACATGCCTGGGAGCCTGCTTGACCCCAGCCTCCACTTGCTGAATCAGAACACAATTCTGATTCTGGAGTGTGAGAGTGTTAGGGTGATGGAGTCTCACTGACCTAGGAGCTTCAACTTTCAAGTCTGTGACTCACCAGCTGGAGCATGTGGGCCAGCCACTTACACCTCTCAGGGCTATAACTGCCCTGTATTTAAAGGCTGAGAGAACCTAGAGAAATCTTGTGGTGAGTGGGTCTGGCAGAAGAGTCCAGGAAGGGATCAGGGTGGCCAGCGCTGGGCCCTGGGCCTGAGTCCAGATGTACTTCCACTAGTCAGCTCAGCTTGACTGGAGTAGGGAAGCCAGCTCCATGCCCTGAACGCCTGTCCTAAGCCCTCTCTGGGGACCATCTACGTAAAGATTCACCTCTGGATACCACATACCAGGATCCCCTTTGTCCATTCTTGGGACCCTCAGAAGACACAAGGCCTGAGGGGCTGAAGGAAATCACTTTAATAGCATAGCAACTATGAGATGGGGAGTCACAGAAGGAAACATTGCCTTCCAATGGCACAATTCGGCTGAGGTGTGTGGCTGCACTCTTCACAGACAGATTTCACTTTGGGAATTAATAAATAGATACTCAAAATGTCAAACAGTGGAGACAAGGAGTTGAAAATGTAATTGTTTTCTTATTCTGCTTCCTCTGAACAGGGCTTGGAGAGGCCTCTCTTCTACGAGGCATCATCATACTCTTCAGCGCTGCGTCGGCCAAAATCCATCCAGCCCATGTAGTCCCGGTCACTTATCCTGTGGCTGGGGTCCAGGCTCTGCAGGTTCTTGATGATGGACATGCGTCCAGAAGGAGCTGAAAGGAGCAGAGAAGACAGAGACAAGAGTCTGAGATCTGAAAATAAAACCAGTTTAATTTGGGACTAACTCAATGGGAAAAGGCAGGACTCAGGTTGTTCTCTGATCTCCACAAGTCCACCATGGCATGCACACACCCTCAGATACAAGCACAGACACATACACAGAAATAAATATCTTTTAAATAGGGGCCAGTGAGATGGGTCAGTGGGTAGAGATAACTTGTTACCAAGCCCTGACAACCTGAGTTCAATCCCCAGGGCCCACATGGTGGAAGAAGAGAACAGACTCCCTTGGGTTGTCCTCTGACTGACACAGAAGCACCATGGCACATGTGTACATAGACACAGACACAGACACAGACACACACACACATACATACACACATGCAAATAAAAACATAAACAAATATTAACAAAAATTTTAACGGAATCAAGCTCCTTGTCTATATAAATGTTACTTAAGGATTATTAATTAGAAAGCTAAATTCTTTTAAATATAGTAGAAAAAAAGACATACTGTCAGTATGATATCTCAGTAGCACTCACAGTGGGTGAGAAGAAACAAAAGAGGCAATTTAAATCAGCCATTTTGTCCAAAACACAATGACAGAGCCTGTGATGGAGTCCAGCCTGTAGCAACAGATGAACCTCTCCTACAGTCACATGGGGTGAGTGAGAGTGGTGATGTGTATCCTTCATCTGCAGTCCCTGTCCACAAATGGTTCACAGTGGCCTCCTGGGCTTGCCACCAGAGTACCACCTTCTGGCTGACTAAGGGTTAAGAGAGGCCCCTCAGGGGCTTCTGTGAAGGAGTGAGGATCCTCTCAACGGTTGTCACTGAGTTGGGACCCCTGTGTCTCCACCTCTTGAGGTACTGGTCAGTAGGCAGTTTCCATGAGGTGGCCCTGCCAGCCCCTGCCCATAGACTATTAGAGCCAGAATAGAGATTGTTTATTGATAGGCCCTCATCTATGCTCCATAAGCAACCCTAAGGAGACTCATTGGGTCGCTGAAGATAAAAAACATGAAATTGTGGGGGGGGGGCTAGTTGGGAAAGGAATCAAATGGGGTGGGAGGGGGACAAAAATCATATTGGATGAATATGATCAAAATACCTTATATATGAAAATGTCACAATGAAACCCATCGTTATGTAGAATTAATATATACTAATAAAACATTTTAAAAATTACCCTGCCTTATAGATAATGAATTTAACTAGTTAAATTTAAAACGGAAACAGCCACACAGAAAAGCACCCCCATATTTCCTCTCCTTGGTCTCTTGCCTTTTGGAACTAAAAGTCCACCCCAGCCCATACAGAAGAAAAACAGCTCCCTCTATTCAAATGAAATATTAGTCAGCAAGACATGCAGTCCCAGTTCCCTGTACACACTCACACAGAAACACAACCTGTCTTCCTGTCTACTGGTCGATGACTGCCACTCCAAGGGTTGACCACAACCCACATCAAGCCAGCAGCCTAGGCAAATGGCATGGACATGCAACCAGCCATGGAAGGGGTGTTTGGTACATACCTCAATTCTCTCACTCTACACAGATCTGTCCTTGTGTGTGTGTGCTTATCACAGTCCTTCCTCCCTCCCTCCCTCCCTCCCTCCCTTCTTTCTCTCCCTAGTACTATGCAGTGAAGGGACTTAATACCAAGTTATGGACTGAAGTGAGGGAATCTGGCTCCTTCAAGCTCTCACACGTACAACACATAGGTCAGCTTGGAAGCTAGATGACTTCTGGACCCTCAAGGAAAATGAGGACTTACATAGATTCAGCCTGCTGTCTCCTAGAAGTGCCACTGGGAATGGATGTTACTTGTCCTTCTAGAACCTGGGCTTCCACACACACAAAATGGCCATGAGAATACTCACTATGCAGAGCAGTTATAAACCTGAGAGAGATGCACAGCTGCAGCATCTGGTCAAGGGCTGATGTGCACTATATGCTACAATGCCACTAGATGCCCCCCACCTTTCACAGAAATTGCTTCTTCTTGTACTACTGAGAGTGCTGTAGAATAGCCCTAAGGATAAATTCCTTTTTTTAAAAGAAAATGTTTTTGGAGCCAGGCATGGTGGCGCATGCCTTTAATCCCAGCACTTGAGAGGCAGAGGCAGGCAGATTTCTGTGAGCACAAGGTCAGCCTGGTCTAAATAATAAGTTCCAGGCCAGCTGGAGCTACAAGGAGACTCTGTTTCAAAAAGACACACACACAAAAATTTTTTGAAACAGGGTCTAAACTGCTATGTAGCTAAGATTGGCCTTGAACTCCTGGTCCTCTGGCCTCCACCTCCCGAGTGCATGTTTGCGTCACCACACCCAGTTTTAAGTGGCGCTGGAATTGAACCCAGGACTTTGTACATGCAAGGCAGTTTACCAACTAAGTTCCCTAATGATACATTCTTATCCCTTGGGCAGGGTGCAATATCTTGTCTAGAGTCTTTAAGCATATTATGTATTAGAGTTGAATCAAAATCTGATGCTATCTTAAAATCCGATATAAAATATTCAAAGAAATTGGGCAGTATTTATGACCGCTGATTCCCAGTTCATATTTGTCAAATAAGTGAGCATAAATATTTGCCAGTTAGCTTTGATCCCGGGTGTGGGCAGCCAAATCTCCATGCACTTACCATTTGCATGGGGGGGGGCCCTCTAGATTGACAGTTCAGTGAAAAGCCTAGTGATTAATTCAGAAGAGTCTGCTGGTAACCCACACCCAAGGGCAGATCCTAGATTATGTTCAGATAAGCAATCACAAGGGATGGAGAAAGAAATGCTAATTTTTCTCATCCTCTGATTTACATTTCTATCTCTCTCAACTGAAAGCAGCAGCAGAAGAGGAAGAAATCTCCTGCTATTCTCCCTCTGGAAGTGCCCTAGGCTAACCTTCATGGGAAACTTTAGGAGAGTCCATCTAAACTCCCAGTTCCTCCTTCTCCAGTTAAGCCCAGAGCTGTGGTATAAATCCAGGCAGGACACCCTAGTTGGGAAAGGGAGCCCTGTGGAAAAGGATGCCCTTTTCCCATGTTTTAAGGGAGCTGGATGGGTCCAGTTTAACACACTGCCCCACAGGTAGATTTCATCATTAATATCACGGGGATAAAGTCCAGATATAAAGACTGTCTAGGTCCATGCCATGATTCCCCAAGGCTGCAAGACATGGAGAAGGTGTCCTTTGAATCACAAGGAAGGAGATCTGGGTTGCTATGCCTTCATCTCCTCCCTGAAGATAAGATAAATTCAGGGGCAGGAAAGGAACACTAAGCTGACCAGATGTAAATCAATCCAGTGGATCCCTGGAGAAAGACTTCCAATGCTCAAACTGGGCCCTGTTCTGCACTGGGAGCATCTCTCCAACAGCAAAAAAAAAAAAAAAAAAAAAAAAAAAAAAAAAAAAAAATCAGATGTATCTCTCCCCGTGTGACCATCCTAATTCAAGACTTGGCAAGACTCAAAGTGCTCCTGATCCTCTTCCCCCGACCCCCTTTGGGGGAAGGGGGGACATACACTGGCCAACCATTTTGCTTGGAGCAAAAGCTTTCTCAGCAATGACCCACTTCCTACCAGAGGGGTTCCAAGGGTCAGTGGGTAGTTCCTAGTTCTACTCCACTCACAGCAAAGGGTTCCCTGTGCACAGTAACCAATTTTAAATGTTGAACTTCCGCTGTAACGTCGTGCCAAAAATTAGTTCAAAGAAAGGTTTACAAGCCGACCCCTTATCCATTAAGACCCCACCACGCTGCAAATACCACCTGCCAACTGCAAGGTGAGGTGCAGTGTAACTCCGCAAATAAATTTTTGCCCCCTTGAGGTGTCTCCTGTTTCCTCCTGAGACTTTACCTCCACCGGCGGGTGCTAGAAGAGAGGATCAGGATCCGGGAATCTGGAGCCTGAGAAGTATGATGGAGGTAGCAGACATCCTTACCTTTCCGGACCTGCTGGATGTATCGCGCCAGCAGCGCGCCTAGGCGCGCTCGGGGCTCGCCGTCTGTCCTGGGCACCGCTCTCTGGTGTCTTCGGGACACCTCCTCTACCCGCTGCACTGCGGAGCCCGCGGGATCTGCTGGGGCCACCGCCTGCGTCAGGGAGCCGGCCATAAGGACTGCCATCAGCACGCACAGACACACGCCGCTGTTCATGGCTGTGGAGAGCGAAGGAGACAGGCGTGAGCGAAAAGGCTGAGCACCCTTCTGCTCCTCGCGGCGAGTCAGGCACCTAGAAGTCAGCTCAGGTGGAAAGCTGTAGACTCTCCAGGCTGGCGCAAACCTAGGGCTCTTCAAGCGCAGTCTCCCCTGCGCTGTGGCCACCGCCGGCCTCAGGGCGCTCCTGCCTGGTCTTTGATCTTTGAGTCCACACCAGGGCCTGGGAGATCGGGAAGAGAAAAGTCCCCATTTTCTGCCCTGTTCAACAGAAGAAATGTCTCCACCTCTCCTGAAGTTTGAGGATGCCTTTGTAGAGCATCTCTCTTCTAACAGAGAAGGCAGGGGGAGAAAGAAAGAGGGGCAAGGAGAGAGAGAGAGAGAGAGAGAGAGAGAGAGAGAGAGAGAGAGAGAGAGAGAAATGAGTCCCGTTTAAACTATGGGAGCACAAATAAAAGCCGTATTCATAGACTTTCCTCAGCCTTTACATGGGAGTAACAGGGACATAACCAAGGTTTTAAAAATCAGAAATATGTGTTCAGTCCTCAGTTGGGGCCAAAGCTCCGCCCTGAATTTTTCAGCAGCATTTAGAAAATAGATTTAGGTCTTAAAAACATCTTGGTATTTTCTTTTGAAAGATTGCAAAGTACTGTAAGAAAGCTAGCAAATCCTAGGTCGCATGTGAATGAATCCTAATGAACGCAGTATCCCAGCGCCGGCTATTTCTGACTTTAAGGAATCTTTCTAGGTGTCCAAGGAGGGAAGGCACAGAAAACACAAAACGGAAAGGGGTGCAAAGCTGCAGGCCAGTATTCTTCACACACATGATTTTTGGATTGGCCCACGGGGAGACACCTACCTTTGGATGCAGAAGCAGCAGGCTTCGCGTTTCCAGTGGAGCAGTCGGCAACACAGCCAAGTTCAGGGTGGGCGGGAGAGCCTCTGCCTCTTAAATAGCCCCGCCCTGGAGCCAGCAGCCAGTCATCTGTTTACCCAGCCCTGACGCAGCCCTGCAGCACACGTGCTCAGAAGGAGGCCCCTGGGAGGGCCACCTGTTGAAGTGGCCCCTAGAGAGGTGGGGGATTGACCCAGTGGATTGAGGGTGAACTCTCCCAGGCGGGCATCCCAGGTCCCCGCTTTATCCAAAGAGCTCCTTTCCCACCCCTGTCCAGCACAACTCCCTCGCCTTTCCAGTAGGGGGTCCCTTGCAGGATGGGAAACAGGCATTTCATCTGGGATGCTGCGGGGGTCAAACGGATCTCCAAGGAAATTGAGAGGTCAGGGCTTGGTGTTAGCGAGGTGTGATTCTGGGGTGTTCTTTGGAGCCACCTTCGGACCTGCGCGAGCTCCTTCGAGGGAGAGAGGGGAGTCGGGCTTTCTATTTTTTTGAAAACTGGTCGCAGTTTCAAAAAATAGGGAGTGGCAGTTGGCATCCTGTGTCTCTCTTAGCACCGTTGTAAAATGGGGGTGCGCCTCCTAGCTTTGCGCAGAAGCTTTTGGAGGAAAGCTACTGATTTCTTCCCAGGACAACTGACTTTCCACCTGAGTGGCCTGAGTGCCCAGGCCACTGCTTCTGCTGGTCGCCAAGTGGCGCCCGAGAGTGTCTCAGGCACTCCCAAACTGGCTGGAGGAGACACCTTCCACACGCACATGAAGATCATCCTCTGCCCAGTTCCACCAGAGCTCCGTAGCTGGGCTGGACTGGGCGATGGGGACCTTGACCCTGGTAACTCTCACGCCATGGGAAGGAAGCTGCAGTGAGCGCTTCCTGAGTCCCAGCAGAGCACCAGGGTCCTATATACTGGGACCAGTTGGGTTGGAGTCCTCAGAGGGGTGCTGGAGTTTGCTGGGTCCCTCCACCCCGTTTCACATATGGCAGAGTAAGCACCTGAGGGAGGGAGAGCAGCGGGAGCTGGAGTAGCCCCGTCGGAGTGAACCAGGGGGTCACAGACCCTGCCCACAACCACTCCCACTTCCCATTCTGGCATCAGTCTGGTGTGAAAGGAGAAAGACTTGAAAACATTCTTTTTAAAACAGGCATCCATAGCCTGCTCTGGAGCCCAGGGGTGGAGCTGAGGAGAATGGGGATGTACTGGGTCTGCTCTGCTCTGTGCACAGGAGACTTTGGCCAGAAGACTCTCCTGGTGAGGTCCCAGGCTTCTCTGCAGCCTAGAGGCAAGCTTTTTGAAACAGCTGCAGATTAAATGCTATAGGGTGGTTTTCCCATGAGGCAGCTCAGGTTGGGGGAATTGGTTTTATTTGTGACATTACCAAGACATATCTGCAAATGTAAACTTGGCATACAGGAGAATTGCCTAAAGGGCTGTTCACACTCAGTTTCTGATTCAGTGGAGGCCCGGGTTCCCAGGAATCTGTATTCCTACCAGGTTTCTTGACCACACTTGGTGAGGACTGCTATCCAACTTGCATAGCTGTCCCTGGCTTGGGACTGAGACAGGCTCTGACTTAATTCCTTCCCTCCGTCCCTTTAGACACCATTTAAGGAACATCTGTGCCAGTTCCTGGGGTTGCACTATAGCTAACACCTGACAATATAACAGAAGCAAAAGAAGCAAGTGCCCAAGTAACTAAACACCTAGGGTGGGGTGGGGGCACTTGCAGATAGCTGTTGGGAAAGTGCTTGCCTTGTAAGCACAAGGACCCCAGTTCGGATCCCCAGAACCCACTTAAAATCTAGGGAGAAGATGTGTACCTGTAATCCCAGAGCTGGGGAGATGGAGACAGGTGCTCACTAGCCAGCTAGTCTAGCCAATCAGTGAGCTCTAGGCTTAGTGAGAGACCCTGTCTTAAAAAAATAAGGTGCCTTAAAAAAATAAATAAGACATCTGATGGCCTTGCATGCCTCTACACACAAGTGCACACTCCCACACAAATACATTCATCCACACGTGCACAAAACATCTGAAGGATTCTGATATTTGGGGGAACATCTGAAGGATTCTGATATTTGGGGGAACATCTGAAGGATTCTGATATTTGGGGGAACTTTGGAGTGTGAGAGGTGGCAGATAATTTGAGAACCAAAATGTACTCATAAGGGCAGGAAAAGAATTGAGGTTTTAGATGAGTCTGATGGTGACAGGGAGGTGTCCCTAGGACAGAGATGGGAGACCAGGGAAGGTTAGGAGGACAGGAGTTGGGAAGGCCACAAGAACGAAGGCAAATTTATATTGAGGCTAATATACCATTATGAAATCTATCCACTATTATGAAATATGACAGAGATTATACAAGTCATAAGTGCTCATTTCATAGCATTCAGAAAATTAGAATAACCAAGAGGGCTTGGTGACTGGGGCTGACCTTGATGCTCCAGGTTAGGTGACAATGGTAGGTCAAAATATATTACCCAAGACAGGGAATTTGGGAGGAAAAGTGGTTGGGGCATGGGGGAAGGGGCAGGTGATGAATCCAACATGGGATTCAGTTTCTTGACTGTGAATGGACAACCAGGAGGAGGTTAGGACCCTGGATCCTGGGTGGAGGGACACTGGAGGTATGGCCCCAGGCCCTGCATATGGCTGGTGGTTTCCCATCTGGGAGGTGTAGGGATAGGCTAGAAAACCAGGAAGATGAAGGCAAAGGTGTCACTGGACAGGCTCTAAGAAGTCACAGCAAGAAGAGAATGGAACAAAGGGAGCTGGTACATAACCAGAGGCAAGTGTCAAGGACAATTAGAAGCTGGAAGGAGGGCTGGTACGACAGGCTCACCCCTATCTTCTCTCTGGAAATTCTGAGCAGGGATGTATTAGGGAAGATCTGCTGGGAAAATAAGAGGAGTCTAAACTCCTTGTTCATAGTAATCAATGACTTCCCTCCGAACAGAGGGGGCTAGTAATTCCAACCTTTGTTCTTAAGCAAGAAGGTCTGGATTTCCCTTGTATTTATTTGTTGATTTTGTGTACTTCACCCCAGCTCCGTGACCCCCCTGGCTCCTGGTTGGCCACTTGGAGCTTTCAGACCTCTGCCTTCTGGCTTTCACAGTTCTCTGCTTCACTTCTCTCCCTCAAAGCCCCATCCCTGCAGGGTTCAGCCTGGAAGTGGGGATGTCAGCTCTCCAATGCTAGAGATTGGGCAGTGAGGATGGAAAACTCAGGTTCTCTGTCTCTGTATAGACCATTCCAGAAGCTCCTGGAAACTTCTCAAAGGTCCTTTACTGTAGCAGTGACCCCGATAACATCTCTCATTGGCTTTTTAGGTCTTCCTCTTCATTTTCTTACTTCTGCTCCCTGAGATCCTCTCCTGCTCCCCGAGACTGTCTTGTCTCAGTATAATCCTGCTGAAGACACCAGCTGTTGGTCAGGCACTGTTGGGGTACACAAAACACAAAACACTGCTGTGCCATGGTGCTTCCGTCATAGTGGGGGAAACAGAGAACAGTAATGGTCACAGATGGGCACACAGAAGTGGAGACAGGTTCCGGGGGTGGGGGGGGCTGAGCTTTGAGTTTGTGTGAATGCCTGCCAAGGCCCGCTGCAGGACCCTCTGCTAGGATACTTGATGTGTGAGCTCACTGTGAAAATTCAGAAGTGGGTTTGCTCCTCTGTCCAAATAAAGAAGAGGGGACGTTGTAATGGGATTTCACTTCACCTGTGAGTTGCATTGTATTTTATCTACTGTGAGGTGGTAATTGTTATGAGTTACATGTGAAATGCCCTCCACAGGCTCTTGTGTTTGGAACACTTGGTTTCCAGCTGGTGGGACTGTTCTGGGAGGCTGTGGAACATTTGAGGTGAAGGTGCAGCCTCACTGGAGGAATTGATTCTCTGGAGTAGGCCTTGAGGTTGATAGCTGGGCCCACTTCCTGCCTGGTGTCTGCTTCCTATGCCACTGAGGTTTGAGGAGGTAAGGAGTCCTACCCTGGCTCTCCCACTACCATGGAGCTTTCTGCCAAGCCTTCCAACCGTGAAGGACTACAACCCCTCAAATCACAAGCTAAATGGATCCGCCCTCCCTTAAGTTGTTCTACCTGCTGTCCCCCATTGCTGAATGAGACTTACCAGCTGAAGCCCAGAATTCCCCATAGGTGGGCTGTCCCTGCCTTCATGTAGAGGACTGAACGCTCAGGGAATCCTGTCTAAATGTTCCATTTGATAGAAGGCAGCGAGGAGAAGAAATCTGTAATGGTTGACTGGTTTGGGAATCTAGAAATTTCCATCTGGTTGTGGTAATTAAAATGTTAAGTGATATCCCAATCCAGACTTGGGGAGACATTTCAGAGTGTAGTCCTGGGAGATATGTGACATTTTCGACGAGGGATTTTCTAGTCATGAGAAGTATCTCAGTGACACATGTCCATCCTGCAGCATGGAAAGTTCAATGGGATTTCCAGAGATGGGCAGGAGCCTGATTTATTATTCATAGAATTTACACTGGTTACAGCTCACCCACATTTAATGGAGGTCAAGAGGTGGTTGCTGTGATCAGAAGGAATTGCTTTGAAGAATTCTGTTTAGGTCCTGAGGGTTTTTTCCCCCTCTCTTGAACACATATTAGAAGTGCCTTTTGGTGTGTGATTTTCCTGGCGAAATGCAAAAGAAGTGTTTGTCATGTGGGTTTTTCAGTTCCCGTCTTCTGGAAGGAAAGGAGTCAACTGAGAGATACAGACAGTGTAAGAAGCTTATTCAGCAAAGCTAAGCAAAGCTTGCACTCCAACAGATCAGAATGGGCTCTCCCAAGGATGAGGTGTGGATTTTAAAGATGTTTCCAATGAATATTTGTGAGGTAGGTGGCATACTCATGGGGAACGGTAACCCTTCTCCCTCTCTAATCCATGGGAAATGGGATCTCCTTTGTACTGTATTTCTTCCCATGATCCCCTAGAAAGTCCCACAAGGGATGGGGTCTAAATCACAATGTAACTGGTACTATAATGAGGATAGAGATCTTTTGTCAGTGCATAAGTAAAGCAACTGGGAATGTGCCCTGGTC